TTCTGTCTTCTTCTTTTTTTCTCTTCTTTCCTTCTTTTCTTTTTTTTTTTTCTCTATCTTCTTTCCCTCTTCTTTTTTTTTTTTTCTTCTTCTCTTTCTTTTTTTCTTTTCCTCTCTTCTTTCTCTTTTTTCTGTCTTTCTTCTTTTTTTTTTCTATGTCTTCCCTCTTCTTTCTTTTTTTTTTTTTCTCTATCTTTCCTCTTTTTTTTTCTTTTTCTCTTCTATCTTTCCCTCTTCTTCCTCTCTTTTTTCTCTTTTTTTTCTGTCTGTCTTCCTCTTTTCTTTTTTCTTTTTTTTCTCTTTTCTTTTTTTTCTGTCTTCCTCTCTTCTTTCTCTTTTTTTCTGTCTTCCTCTCTTCTTTCTCTTTTTTTCTCTGTCTTCCTCTCTTCTTTCTCTTTTTTTCTCTGTCTTCCTCTCTTCTTTCTCTTTTTTTCTCTGTCTTTCCCTCTTCTTTTTTTTCTTTCTCTCTTTCTCTTTTTTCTTCTTCTCTGTCTTTCCTCTTTTTTTCTTCTTCTCTGTCTGTCTTTCCCTCTTCTTTTTTTCTTCTTCTCTGTCTGTCTTTCCCTCTTCTTTTTTTTTCTTCTCTGTCTGTCTTTCCCTCTTCTTTTTTTTTCTTCTCTGTCTGTCTTTCCCTCTTCTTTTTCTCCCCTTTTCTCTTTGCACTTCTATTTTAGCTGTGATTCCTTCTTGCTTACTTTTTCTTAATAATACTTTTTTGTGATAAAAACAGGAAAACGCAACATGCTTAGGACATCTATGTCACAGTTGTGTGTGCATATACATATAAATAAATAAATAAATAAATATATATATATATATATATATATATATATATATATATACACACACATGTAAAAAATCTTTTTGTGTGACATTTTTCAAGAATGCTTGATTGGGTGACTGTTAAAAAAAGAAAAAGATTTTTCTGCTTTTCTTATTCATTGGAGTCATTCATTTATTTATTTATTTACTTGTTTTTATAATCATTTCACCTCAAATAAGGTGATAAAGCCACTAAGATTTTACTGAGAGTGAAAGAAACTGAGAAAATGCTATTATGGAGAAAGGACCATAAAAGAACAGGATTAAAAAAAGATTGATGTTGAATTTAAATTTTTGAAGATTGTAGTTGAGAGGAAAGTAAGAAGCTGGAAGAGTTCCACAAGTAAGAAGTGTGAGAGAAGAAACTGTTAGCATTGAACTTATCTAGCAATTTTAACAATAAAGAGATTAGTCATAACTGCTAATCTAGTACTGTGTTTAAAGTCATGAAGTTAAAAATGATTATTTCTTTAATTTTAATTGCAATTATTCAGATAGTTATTCTAAGGCCTTTATTAGTAATGATGTTGAATTATTTTTATCTTTGGCAACATCTTAAATTTCTTGACTAGTATTTTTTCATATTAATTTTAGTTGTTTGTTTTATCACAATTATTGACATCATTATTCTGAAGTATTTAGTAGTTATGCTATTATTTTTTTTAGTTGAAGCATTGGTAACCATTAACTTTTCACTTCATCTTTGAAGATAAAATTTAAGAATCTTTTATCTTGTCTTTTTTATATTTTCCATCTTTTACTCTTAACGTCTTTTACTCTTAACGTCTTTTACTCTTAACGTCTTTTACTCTTAACGTCTTTTACTCTTAACGTCTTTTACTCTTAACGTCTTTTACTCTTAACGTCTTTTACTCTTAACGTCTTTTACTCTTAACGTCTTTTACTCTTAACGTCTTTTACTCTTAACATGATAAGCAGTCATACCTCACAATAACTTCCTTTTCTGCAATACCCTGGGAAATATTTTGGAGTAGTGTCTAATTGACATTTTATACAGCTTTGACACCAGAGTGATTGTTCTCCGAAAATGATTGCTCAATCAACTATTTTACCTATCACTGGGAGATAGGGAAAAAGATTAGTTCATGTTTTTCCCAAAAATATTAGCATAACTTGAACACAAAAATGTTTCAGCAGAAATTTAAACTTGGCTTGCTAAATACATTTTCCATGCTGATAATGGCTATGTCACTTACACATACTATAAAGTTAACCTGTTTCTTTTTCCTATCATTTAAATGAAAAAAAAAAAACAGTTCTCAACTTCGAATATATTTTACACAACACATATTTATTTTTAAAAACACTTTGTCAATGCATTTAGTCGAAAGCACTTAGCTATTAATTATTTTAATGTACATTGGGAAAAATTCAAATTCAGCTAATAAGTGTCAGCCTGACTTATTGATCTTTCTATAGTCAAAAATATTTTTTAAAAAAGAGATGTATTGAAAATAAGTGATGAAATAAAAAAAGACAAATGTTGACTGTTTATGCTGTGAAGCTTTTTGTTCATGTAAATTGTGATATGCTTCACTGAGCCTTTTATGTGATCTGAATACAATATTTTCAAATTGCTGTTTTTTTTTATTGTGCCCTATATATTTAACCATGGCATACTTTGCATATTTTGTACATATGTTTATATACATGAGGTAAATAAATTAACTTCCATATTTGGAATGAAAAATCAAAGTAAGACAAAGTGATATAAAAAGAGGTTGGCAAATGATGATCTGGGCATTATTTATGTCTTGTTGGACAGGTTTTGGAACAAACTTACCAAATTAGCAGCTTAGGATAGTAGGCCTTTTGGGCAGCAAGTTCCCTATATATCACAACTTTAAAGCTATTTTTGGATCTAGGTAAATTGCTCAAAATCAGTTGCTTGACAGTAAATTGCTCGAAATCAATTGCTCGAAAAATAATTTCTTGAACTATCAATTGCTTGAAAGGCAGATTGCTCGAAGTAATTTTGAAGCTCGAAACACCATGTAAACTGCACCATCTCATGACATGTCAACGGAGCTGGATATAAAAGGAGCCACAACACTCAACTTTAGCAGTCCTGATTTTTTTTTTATATATTTGTTTTCTATTTCAGTAATTATGGAGATCTCGAACCCTAGTGATGGACATAACTTTTGTTGAGAGCGAAAAAGAAAAGAAGTTGTTTGGATGGATATCTATATATTAAGGACAAAACAGTGAACAATAAGATTTACTGGAAATGTGAAATGTGCAAAAAAAAGGAAATGCTTAGCATCTTTTATTTTTTTTTAACTACAGGTTTTGAACAAACTGCCTTTTAAGAAAAAAATAAGACCTATATAAATGTACTTGTTCTTTAATTTTAACTGTTCAGTTAACAATAATAAAGTTGTATTATTTTTCTTATAGTAAATATTAGAAACAATGTAGTTTTTTTTTTTTTTTTTTTTTTTTTTAACCACAGGTTTCAAGCAAACTGCCTTTTGAACAATTGACAGTTTGATAAATTATTTTTTGAGCAATTGATTTCCAGCAATTTACTGTCGAGCAATTGATTTTGAGCAATTTACTGGATACGGGTATTTTTTGTTTTGGGGTCATATTAAAAGTACAAAACAAACTGCGAAAGACTTCAGAATTGATAACAAAGTCTGAAAAGTCTTTAGGATTAGAAGGAGAGTTCAAAATGTTTCAGAATTGAAAGGCTTACCCAAAATACTTCAGCATTTAAAGCTAAATGAAAACTGAAAGAATTTGAATAAGAGCCATATTTAATAATGCTCTAGATTTGTCAAAATGCTGTTTAAAATTTTCCTGAATAATTGCAAATCTGCATTGACAATGGTGACTCATCTCTTGACAAGTCTGAATTCAAAACCTGTGGAGGGTTGTTTGGGGACCTTGTGGCACGTAGTGCACCAGGTATTCGGCCCTTCAAAAAGTGCGGTTGGTTCTGCAGAAAGCCTTCGCCACTATAATCAAATCATATGTGCTGGTGTCTGACTGTCAGTTCCTAGGAACTGAGCTGCTTGACCCTCATACATTGAATATGACAGGAGTCCACCACACACACACACACACACACATATATATATATATATATATATATATATATATATATATTAATAGTAGTACTCGTTTGGAAAACCTTGGATAGTTCAATTTGCAGATATGTCAGGGCACATTGGTACCTGAGGAAAAAATTGGAAATAAAAAAAAAAAAAAGAAAGAACTAAAAACATCAGAACAAGACAAAACAAATCGACAAGTGCTTTAAGTCCTTAGTCCAAAGAAAAAAAACCCAAATGAGTAGAATGTTTACCCTGAAGTTCCATTTAGGTGAAACCTAAGTAGGTTTGCCTGGCTCCTTAGGATTTATTCTAGTGTGTGTGTGTGTGTATATATATATATATATATATATATATATATATATATATATATATATATATATATATATTATATTTTATTTTTATGCATATTACATATTTTATCAACACTTCTAGATACTAGATTCCATGGTGAAAAATATTTTATTTCATGTGAACTCTTTCTTTTTCTAATGGCGATTAGAATTTTGATTCTTCCTAGATATATGTGCGAGAGAGAACAAAATAATAATTATGTATGTGAAAGAAAGAGAGAGCCCATTTATATTATTATGTAAATGTAGGAGTGAATGCTGTAAAACATTCAGCTCAGCCCACTTCTCAAAATCAGTATTTTTTTTCTGATATTTTGTCATTTGATCAGATTATGATAATTGATTTAATTAGGGTGATGATTTTCCAACACCCCTCATAGAAATAGAAGTAGTCTGTTAAATCTAAAAAAATTATATATAGAAACATGGTATTTTGCATGAATATTATCATACATTTTGAATATTATCATATATATTTATATATATATATATATATATATATATATATATATATATATATAATTTCTAGGATGGCTGTCATTGATTTCACTGTTTATAATAACAGGCATGTCAACTCAAACACGTTTACTCACTAACAATAACATTAATAGGAATAAGAAATAATGTTGGATAAATAAAAAAAAAAAAAAATCCATTTATTTATTATATATATATATATATATATATATATATATATATATATATATGTATGTATGTATGTAGGATGCTCCTATTTGTAACTGTCATGTTTGTTACAATAAACAGAATACACCAAGATAAATATGTGAGTGACAAGAGAAACTGTCCTTGGTATTGTCCTAATTTTTCTTTTTTTTGTTTCCTTTTTCTTATCTTTCTTTTCTTTCTTTCTCTTTATTCTCTCCTTTCTCTTTATTCCCTCTCGCTCTTTCTCTTTGTCTCTCGCTATTCTTTGTTTCTCTTAAACTTTTCTTTTTCCATTTTTCTCTCTCTTTTACTCTTTTCTTTTTACTTTCTCTCTCTCTTTTACTCTTGTTCTTTTTTTCTCTCTCTTGTTCTTTTTTTCTCTCTCTTGTTCTTTTTTTCTCTCTCTTGTTCTTTTTTTCTCTCTCTTGTTCTTTTTTTCTCTCTCTTGTTCTTTTTTTTCTCTCTCTTGTTCTTTTTTTTCTCTCTCTCGTACTCTTTTACTCTTTTATTCTCTTTTCCTCTTTTATTCTCTTTTCCTCTTTTATTCTCTTTTCCTCTTTTATTCTTTTACTGTTTTTCTTTTTTCTTTCTCTCCCTCTCTTTACTCTTTTCTTTTTCTTTTTTCTCTTTCTCTCCCTCTCTTTACTCTTTTCTTTTTCTTTTTTCTCTTTCTCTCCCTCTCTTTACTCTTTTCTTTTTCTTTTTTCTCTTTCTCTCCCTCTCTTTTACTCTTTTCTTTTTCTTTTTTCTCTTTCTCTCCCTCTCTTTTACTCTTTTCTTTTTCTTTTTTTCTCTTTCTCTCCCTCTCTTTTACTCTTTTCTTTTTCTTTTTTTCTCTTTCTCTCCCTCTCTTTTACTCTTTTCTTTTTTTTCTTTTACTCTTTTCTTTTCTTTCCTCTCTTTTACTTTTTTTTCTTTTCTTTTTCTTTTTTTCTCTTTCATTCCCTCTCTTTTACTCTTTTCTTTTTCTTTTTTTCTCTTTCTCTCTTTGCTTTTCATCCCCTTGTCAAATGTCAAGTGATACTAATGTCTATATATGCACTGATTAGTTCTTTTTGAAAGCCAATCCTTAATTTTTAGCATTAAGGATGTGCATTAAATGCACAGTGATCCCCTTACTGACACAAGTCACTTATATTCAGAAATATAATAATTAGAATTGTCCTCTTGGCCAAACTTGTTGAACATAAGAGCCACATCTGATAATCTTCAATTTGAGAGCTGAAAGATATAATCTTAATTTACACATATTTTTATTGTTACATATGAGTTTGCTACAAAAATTTCATCTTAATATTAGCAAATACATGTATGCATATGTTTAGACTCAATTCTTCTTGTTACGAGGTTGCATTTCTATAATAAGAAAGTCTCAATATGGTTAAAATTTATAGTAAGGTATTCTACTGAGTCCTACCTGTTAATACAAAAAAAGTTTTTTTTTCATGAAGTAGATATAAAATAGAGAAATTTGAAATAGAACGTTTGGAAGATTCTAGATCATTCCAGTATATTTGAGAAGAATCTAGATGATTCGAGAAACATCTAGAAATATGCTAATTAGGTGCTAGCCCCCTATAAAAATAGCTTTTTGGAAAAGGGTTGCCAGTATCAACTCTGGCTTTTTGATTTGAGGATTATTATATCCAGCCAAAAGAATCTCTATGAAAAGTTGCCAACCAACTAAAACCCCAAAAGAGAACCCCTTGGAACAAATCTGGTAGATAGTTTTGACTATTTTCATTGACCAAACTACCAATTATTCAATATATACTCACATTTATGGATTTCCAGTTATTAGCACTTAGATTGCTTCGCTAGCTCTAAAGTGATAATGATACTTGACTCCCCTTCCTTCTCCCTCGTAACACTTCGCCTGTAAACTCTGTGTTTTCTGTTTTTGTGTGCCTCAATTGTATATCTTGTATATTTTATGTTGTGTTTTAGTAAATTAAATATTTGTTTGTGATTTAGCTCTTTGTTTTGGTAAATCAATTTCTTTTCCTTTATTACAATTTCCAACATGTAACATTCTTCTTTTATATGCCATTTCCGTTAAGGATGTTGGTGATCATGGTCTGTCACAACTTTGTTTTCTTGTAGCTCTTAGCAATGTTTGTCTTTTTACTGTCCATTCAACTCCCTGTTCTGCCATTTATTTACACAAGCTCATTAGGTAGGTTACTCACAATTTCACCCTCTCTTGCCTTCACTAGCCCTGTGAGTGTTAAATTTTCCAAGCCTTTAAATTTAATTACTTAGATCAAATTTGACATGTGACAAGATTTAGTTTATTAAAATGTGATTTCATTCTGATAACACTTTCACTGCTGCATTGTTATGGCATTTTTGTCTGGCTGTTCTGTCCCATTTGTGGGGCAAATAGGAAATTACCATTTACTAGAAATTAATGATTATGAAGGCTCTAACAGTCAATCAATAAATGTTCTGATGAGCTCCATTCTTTAGTTTCACCTGTTAAGATCTTTGTAGTTAGGACAAACCATGCCACTTCCAAGGAGTTGAATCACTCTCATTTCCTCTGTATTTCAAATGAAAGTTCTACTGAAATGGCTTTATCCCATGAATTCATTTGCTGGTTTGAATGAAGGTATTACCCATTTCGTCACTCTGAACAAAGGTACCACTCATTTTATTATCCTACATTAAATATAATTTATGACATTTTTCTCCAAGTTGAACTGAGTGTACTATGTTGTCAATTCTCAAAAATAAAGAAAATCTATAAATCTAATTTCATGTTTCGGTTTTTATTAAAAATCTAATCATTGCTTTTTTTTTTTTTTTTTTTTTTTAAAAACACTAAACATTGCTGAGGGAGTCAAAAGTGTATACAGTAATAGCTGTGTCAAGAGAATAACCATTCTTTTGGCTCATCAATATTTTGTGTGCATGAAGGTTAAAACGTTGACAAAGACTCATTCTTATGAATCCAGTAACATGCTGAGCAATTTCCAACCAAAAATTTCAAAGTTGAACATTGAAAAATATAGAAATTTTCATGCTTCAGTTTTAGTAAAAATCTAATCATTATTTGTTTATTATTTAAAAAAAAAATTCTACAGTAATAGAAATGTCAAGGGAATGACTCTCCTTTTGAGACACCATTTTTTTGGCGCTTAAATTCATGAAGTTAAAAAACCAAATCATCAGAACAATTCCCATGAAAATATTTATAGAAAAGGCACAGAGAAGATACATTATGATCAGAAAGTGACTGAAATGAGTAGGGAAATCCACTGAGCAATGGAATAAGTGAAAGTCTTAATACTAGTAACATAAGAAAATATAATAAGTAACATTAGAATGACTAAGCCACTTGAAATGATGAGCATTAAAACCACCAAACATAAAAATTTTTGCAGATGAATGTAAAGATAGAAAGCCATTTCTTTTCTGTTGGACATTTTGTCTATGTTAAAATCCTGAGAAGGAAAGCTATAAAGAAGAAAGAGATAGTTAACAGAGTACAATAAAGTCAAAATCACACAGAAGATTCATTCTTATGAGTCCAGTAATGTATTGAACAATTTACAACCAAAAATGTCAAAGTTGAACAATAAAAATATAGAATAGTTTCATAGGGAATCTTAGAATGTCTGCAGTAAAATTTATTAAACAATATTGACATTCTTTTTCTTTGTTTGGAAAATAGAAACAAAAAGTATGCTTATACTTACATTCAGTAAGAGATAGCTTCTAGAATATATAAGAGGGCTTAGAGAATCTGATACCCACAGAGCATATTGAAGGCAAGAAGGACAGGAAAACAGCAAGTAACCTACTTAACAAGCTGGTGTAAATGGATGGCAAAACCGGAATTGGGAGAGATAAATGTTACTAAAAAGCAACAAAGGAAAGGAAGTTGTGGAGAGCTGTGAGCCATGTCCTGAAGGTATATAGAAGAATAACAACAACAATAACTTCCTTTTTGTTACTAGAAATTCATATTTATTCTTTATATAACAGTTTGGAACAAATTTATTCTATTCTAATATTACCCTGTCCTTGTCAGTGTTAACCATGATGTAGATTATCTTGTAAAGAAAATGTAATGAACAAAGAGCTTTTTATGTTCAGGTTTAAGCTGCTTGTAAATAGTTTTTTGAGATAATGAATAAAACAATAAAAAATACTCTTTGATGAAGAATAATGTTATTGGCCAAAACCCAAGAGATTTCTCTGATTTTGAAGATTAGAAGGTTGAAATGATATTTTACATCAATGAAATATACAAATAGAAATGTATGCACTTCTCGTGTACAAAAAAACAAAAAATAAAATACAATATTTCATCTTGTCATACTTCATAGCCTTTGCAGTAAAGAGGGAAAGAGTTTTTAAGATGTTTCATAATCTTCAGGCTTGGTTATTATAATTCAATGTTTAGGTTGATGGTTTCTTTTTTACAGGTCACTTGCAGTCTTTGGGAGTTGCCATCTTGTCCATCTGCAGTGTTTGTCCTAAAGAAATTAGTTAAAAAAAAAAGCATTAAAAGTACTTATATATGCTATGTTCTTTCATGACTTAGGCAACAATGGCTCTTCAAAACTTCCCATTTTTACAGCCATATTGCATTGAAATACTAGTTCCCATACAATCACTGAAATTAAGCAATGTTGAGCCTAGTCAGTACTAGGTGAGTGACCGCTGAGGAATAACAGGTGTTAGGATGAGTGGGTGGTGTAATGGATAATGTCTCGGAATTGTTAACTAGGGAGCCAAGTTCCCATTCCTGTTGGGTTCATTATATTCACTTACATGCAAATACCCTTGAGTAAGGTATAAATTTGCCTCTTCTTGCCCAATCTATGGGTTAACTAGTAAGACCTTAAACCATTATTGTGTCCAAAAATAGAATAAATTCTTATCATCTAAAAATTTTTTTTGGTTTTAAATTTTTTTCCCTTTTGATTTAAATTAAATTTAAATTTGAACAAGAGAATAGTGAACAAGATAATCAAGTAATCCGAAATAGCTTGAAGAGTAAGCGTTCTCAAAGCAAATTTGTGGCTTTCACAACACAAAGAAAGAAAATTCAGGCAGTTTTGGCTACGGCGTTCGTGAGTTATTTTCCTGACTCGTTACAAGTGATTTTCTTTCTTTGTGTTGTGAAAGCCACAAATTTGCTTTGAGAACGCTTACTCTTCACTATCCAAAATATAGGAGAAAACCAGAAGATGGAGGTCACATCAGCAAGATCATTGAGTAATATTGTAATGCATCATTTTTCTCCACAAGTTATAACAATGATTTAAAATTAATGATTTTCTTGGAAAAAGAATGTGTGACACACAGCAAAGCATGGGTAATTCAGCTAGTTAAGTATCCCCAACTGAATTACTCCATATTGATAAAAAATAATTTGAAAACAGTACTTAAATATACACATATGAAAACCTGCATTTCATATATGTGATATAATATTTTGTACTGTGTGAACTTTTTATGTGTTGTCTCCCTTCAGAATATGAATGGACATGTCTCTCCACAATTTCCTATCCATTTTTGAACCATCTCAAGTGACTTGGGTAGTGGGCCTGCCATCAATAGGGGGTGCTTCTCCACAGCCTCTAGGACAGATGTAATCTGGTACTTCTGTTGTGATGCCACTGCATTTCTTGTATATACAGGTGTTGCATTTGGAGCATAAGTTCAAATTTGTACCCACTTTGACATGGCAGACAGCACAGGGATATGTGCCAGATTCCCACAATCTGCTCAGGTCAACACTAGAAATCATAAACTTGGTCTTTTTCATGTTGACATAGAGCACCTTTCTCTCCATGTCTGCCTTACAGGCTTTCAGCTTGGCAACACATTCATCCAGTGCGTTAGCAATTAACACAAGGCTGTCAGAATATAGAAGTTCCCATGGTACACTAGTGTAGAACTCCCAAGAGAGTGCCTCCAACATGAGAATGAAGAGTAGTGGATTCAAGACTGAGCCTTGATGAACATCAACACTGAACTACCTGCTATATTGGCTATTGACTTTAACTTGACTCCAGGCATTGCAGAACATGCCTTGAACCACATGAATAGTCCAATCCTCAGTTCCAAGGCTTCTCATGGCCCAGCAGATCACCTTTGTTGAAACACAATCAAACACCTTCTCCAGATCCAAAAAGGCAAAGAAGACGGGGTTTCACAACAGTGACAAATTTCTCCTGCAGCTGATGCACAATGAAAATTGCATCAGTGGTGCTTCTCCCAGGCATGAAACCATACTGCATTTTCTGGATGGTGATCATTTTTCTGATTTAGGAATCAAGCAGATGTTCCAGCAGTTTTATCACTTGATCAGTGAACTTGAGGCCTCTGTAGTTGCCTCTGTCCAAGGTGTCACCCTTACCCCGTGGCCTCTGTAGTTGCCTCTGTCCAAGGTGTCACCCTTACCCCGTGGCCTCAGTAGTTGCCTCTGTCCAAGGTGTCACCCTTACCCCGTGGCCTCAGTAGTTGCCTCTGTCCAAGGTGTCACCCTTACCATTCTTGGAGGTGCCATATACCTCATTCAGCTTAGACCAGATCTCTTCCACATTTGGTACAGCATCAATGTCCGTCTGCTAGGCCCCCAGTTTAGCATTGTTGACTGTTTGGAACTCATTTGTGATAGTCAGATTGTGAAGATTCCATGTTTGAAGGTGCAATTTGAACTTGTGTTTCCTGAGTTTTTGTATAGAAATTTTAAGTCACAAACTAGTGCTCCTCACCAGTTATAACCTTGACATCCAAGACCAATTTGCTTAAGCTTTTGCAATATAGGATATAGTCAATCTGTGATTTATGACTGCCAGAAATTAAGGTGACCAGATGTGAGTCTTTTTTTCAAGAACCAAGTGTTGCCAACGATCAGATCATTTGCCTAGTCAAACTCTAGTACTCTCCCACCTTCAGTGTTTCATACCTCATAACCATGACCACCATGAAACTCCTTAAAGCCACTGGCACAAGCACCCACATACCCATTCCAATCCCCAATTGATATAAGAATCTTTGAGGGAACTCCAGCAACCAGGCTCTGCATCTGGTCATAGAAGTGTTCCTTTTCTGTGTCAGGATGACTAACTTGTAGCATATATATATATATATATATATATATATATATATATATGAGAGAGAGAGAGAAATACAAAAACAGCCCCACCCACAAACAGCCTCAATTGTAAGATTCCATCAGAAATCCATTGGACATCAAGGATCTTTACACCCATCTTTCAGCCAGCAGAATTCTGGCACCACCTTGTCTATCTGTTATAGTGGAACACACCTATTCTATAGTTAATACTCACCCACCTATAATAAGTAGTAGTAGGAGCCGCTCAGTGGGTCAGTCAGTCGATGCCGGACGATTGTTAGTTGGATACTAAAGTATCAGCGACCACAACTAGATTTCTCTGCATCATTACCTATTATATCAAGTTCCTAACGTTTTGTACGTCGAACCTATTGTAGGACCGACTTAGTAAAAATACAAGCCTCCACTGTGAAACCACTACATAACACTATCCTAAACAAGAAATAAGGGATAAACCTCTACTTCTATTCAGATGACCAGGGAAAAGTTTTAAGTGGATGATAGGTAAATCTATCTCAGTCAGTTATGTGCCAAGCGTGATACACACTTAGGTGATTATGTATATTTTGATACATGACTGATGAGGCTGATTTTTTTCCTGCAGTAGGTTGCCATTTCTTTCTGCAGTAGACCAGTTGCCATCCAAGGCTATAGAACCCAGTCTATCCTGCTATTTACCCATAGCTGGGAGAAGTAGAGGATTCATACTTTTCCCAAGGGTATTAGCAAGTAACTGAATGTGATGGATTTGATTGGAATTTGAACTCAGCTCTCTGATTCCTCAATCTGAGCTGCTATCCATTACTCTATTGTGCCTTCATCTCTACTCCTATAAATTATTGATATTTATTTTTTAAATTTCAGGCACATAAAGATTGCTATGGATCATAAGAAAGATGTAATCTCAAAAGAGATCATAAATATTTTGATCAGGAACACAATGTTGGAAACTGACAAAATGTTGAATAGTGATGATAGTGAAAGCATTAGCAATTAGAGTATTATCAGAAGTAGTTGTAATATTGGGAGCAATGTGGTAAATTAATGTTTCTGAATGATAGCCTTTGGCCATTTCACAGACAAGTACTTCATGCTTAATTTGTGTATGAAATAGGAGAGACATACACAAGTTTCACTGGAAATGAATGATCAGATAAATTTCTATTCTAACTCATGTTTAGCTCATAGCTATTTTAAACGTTGATGAAAGAAAATTAAGCTATAAAAGTTAATGATAATCATGAAAGTTGGGCAATACTAAGAAATCTTGCTAAATAGATTGAGATGGCTTAACCTCTGGATATTAAATTTAAATTGTAGGCTATCAATTTTTGATTTCTTTTTTTTTTTCTGTTTCCATCATTTATTAATTATGGATTTCATTTAAAATGGTTTTTGTGTCTCCTTTTTACAGAATTGATTTTTTTTGCTTGCTTATCTTCTCACTTAATCAACTACACTATTTTTATCTGAACCAATCATTACCAAAATCCGTTTCATGCTTGGTTTGTGTTTTCTTTGATATTTATTCAAACTATCATCATCATTTTTGCAAGGTTTTATTATTTCTTTCATCACAGCTTTTCAATCAAAATGTTCATCCATTAGTGTTTAAGTAACAGCAGATGTGCGACCTACTTCTTAGAAAAGATTTCATTGGTTGTGGTTGCGTCAACCAGACATCTTTCAGTGTGATAATGGAAGTGAAGCAGTTAAGCAAATTTAAATTTGGTCAGGATTTAATGGGGGACAATTTTAAATTATATAGTAAAGATAATAAATCCATTGGTATGTAATCCAAATGGATCCTAATAATATAAAATATTAAAACTGATCAACAAAAAGTGCGCAGTGCTTTTATTATACAGAGCAAATAAATAGTAGTAAACTATAAAATCCAAAATTACCTCATATGAGGTATAGATCTATTTCAAATAGCGCTATACCCCATATGAGGTAATTTTGTATTTTTTTGGTTTACTATTACTATAGTATATATATATATATATATATATATATATATATATATATATATATATATATATATATATATATATATATATGTGTTGTATATGTATGTGTATATATATATATATATATATATATATAATTCCCAAGAGGATAGAATCCAGGTAGAACTCAATTTCCAGGACAGAGTAAGAATATGATATAAAAGGCTCAAACACTAATATTCCATGGTTATAATTTATTTCATTGGAATCATAATCATAATCCAATTCATCAGACCTACAAATTCAAAAAGTAAAAACCTTTTCTTTTGGAAAAAAAAAAAAAAATTTTTTTTCTTTTTGAATTTATAGGTCTGATAAATTGGATTGTGATTATGATTCTAATGAAATAAATTATAATCATGGAATATTAGTGTTTGAGCCTTTTATATATATATTATATATATTATATGTACAGTACTTAGTAGAAAGTGCTCAATATCAGTAGTAGAGCTAACATCCATGCAACTGAAAAAAATTTTATATATATATAATATATATAATTTTTTCTTTCTTTTTTTTTTCTTTTTCAGTTGTATGGATGTTAGCGATAAAATAAAGAACAGCAAGATATAAAATCCGGTGTTCTTATAGATATTTTTATTTTTACAAAATATTTCTCAATGTAAATTTATGGAGCATTAATATTATAAATTAATTGATTTAAAATGTTTTTTCTTCGCTACACACTTCTAACCATGTTTCAAAAATGGAAGCTAAAAGCCACAAATTTAATTTTGTGATTAAAGATATATGACTTGAATGCAAATGAAAAAAGGGAGGAATGAGCTTTGTATAAAGCTCATCCCTCCCTCCTTTCCATTTGTCTTTAAGTTGTCTGAAGATTGCATGAGTATGAAACTTTGGTTATGACTAGAGCCATCCTTTAAGTCTAGGCAATCTAGATGTAATGACTAAAAAATGGCTTTGAAAGAGTCAAGTGTATATATCCCCCTTTTGAACTTCATAGACTGGCACTTCTGAATCATAAAGAACTGTGCCAGGTAAGAGAAATAATATCACTTGAGGATTTTCAGCAGCAGCAACAACTAAAATCTGTATCAAACGTAACTTAGAGAAAAATGTCACAATCAAGATATTGGCTTTCTATATTACTTTAAACAAAAAGTTAGGAAACTCTCATCAATATTTGGAAGAGGAGTAACAGCTTATGGACTTGAGTAACCTATTTTCAAGAAGAATCATTTTAATAGAAAAATTCTATAAATTTCAGTGGATGATTGCTCTGACAGCTTAGTCAATGAATGCCAAATGTCTCCTTATAAGAAAACAGCTAATATTACCATTGCCATGTTGATGTTTCCCTGAACAATACAATCTTATTTAGGTCAAGAGTTAATCTTTATCTATCCTCCTTATCCTTATAATCTTCACTTCTTTTTACCTCCTCTTACATTTATAGTATGCATCTTATTTCGTAGCCCTCTACCAGAAGTGGCTCTTGAGCCTTGTACTGGATGAACCTCAGTAAAAAAAGATCTAAAATCTTTCTTTTTAATTTTTTCTCTCATCACTGTCCCTTGTCTCTATCTTTGTCACTTCACCTCTCAAGATCATGTCATTTTCTGAAATCTAATATTTATTGACCTTCTCAGACACTAACGCTTTTATCTTCTTTAACTTGACAGGTGTGTGATGGTTGATAATATTTACAACGAAACCAAGTGTCAGAATCTACTCCAGAGTCACAGGTGTTTTATGTGGTTTGGGAGTATTCTCACCTGTTAAAAATATTTCTGCTAATGAAACTGATAGATATAAAAAGAAGAAACAAATTTTCACTTGAATGGATAAATTCTTCAAGTAAACATTGATCTAGAAAATTCTAAATATCATGTGGAATCGTGTCAAGCATTTAATCAATAAACATCAGCCACAAATGGAAATGAAAAAAATGTCTGTGAAATTATTTTTTTTTTTCATAAAAAATTATTTGATTTATATTGATATTGATTTTAGACTAGTTTCACTTTCAGCTTATTTTTATTGAAATACTAAAGCCATTAAATAAGCAGTATAGATGGGAATAGTGAAAGATGCCTTCCAGAAGCTAAACAAGATATAAAGAAACAAAAAAATGTTTGAGAAAAAATGTCTTTCAACTTAATAATGGAAGTGAAGCATATCAGCAATTTCACACTGAATCAAAACTTAATGGGGGCGAATTTTTTAACACACTCACACGCACAGTGACAGATTTGTATTTCTTAATCTGACAGATTTTATTACTTAATTTGTCTGATTAATAAATAAAAATCCATCACTTCTTCTGAAATTGCTTTCTTTATGTTAGGATACAAAATTCTGAGAAAGATTTGCATTTATAAGGCACTATTGAACTTTGTGGCATATTGGATCTAATGACTGTTTCTCCTGCCCAGGGGGACACGGGTTCCTAATCTTGCCAGAGAGTGCGTATTTTTCTTTAGTAAAAATTCTCAAATATTAAGTCAGGCATGGTGGAATAATGGATAGTGGCTCGGATAGAGGAATCGGAGAGCCAAGTTTGAATTCCAGTCGAATCCATTACATTCACTTACGTGCTAATACCCTTAGTAAAGATATGAATCCTGCTCTTCTTTCCCCAGCTATGAGTAAATAACAGGACAGATGGTTCTATATTCTTGGATGGCAACTGGTATACTGCATGAAAAAAATCTGCCTTGTCAGTCATGTATCGAAAGATACATGATTGCCTAAGTGTGTATCACGCACGGCACATAACTGACTGACTGACACTGCTTAATAAATAAATGGAGCATTTACATAAATATGGGTATCCAGTAAAAATAGCATTTAAGTAATATATATAAAATAGTATGAAAAATTGGGGAAAAAAAATTTTGTGACGCATTTCATCAGATTGGGCTTTGTTGATGTTGCCATGTCTACACATGTGCACGAAATGAGAGATGCTGGTAGTTTTAAAATTTTAATAAAATTTTAATGGATGAAGCGCCTCACAAAAACTTTCCAATTTGTCATACTATTTTTTAAATACTGTTTATTGATATATAAAGTTATACAATATATATATATATATATATATATATATGGTGGACTCTCCTATTGTGAACAATAAATGAAAGTCAGCATTGGATGGTGCCTTTCATTTTACACTTATGCATTATTTATTTATTATTATGTATATTTATTATTTATATAATAAATATACATATACCTACATTTGGAGTGTGACTTAAGTTTCATTGTTCTACTAACTCATCAGGCATGAAATATTACTTATAAGTAATATTTCATGCCTGATGAGTTGTTAGACCAACAAAACTTAATTTGTACTCCAAACATAGTTATATGTATGTTTATTAATATATATTTCTTAGCTCTGTCTAACCACATTGAGCACTGTTTTGTTTGCACATTAAAGTAAATTTAGTAAATATTTATTTGCTTACCTGTGTATGCATGCATTAGCATGCATATATGATTGCTAATATCTAATTATTTGATTTACCCACTTGTGTGTATATATATATATATATATATATATATATTCATGAATTATTCATCCAAAAAACAAATACAAAGGTTAATGATTTAATTGGCGAGAAATCCATCGTCGCAAACAATTCAAATAATATACAAAAACCCCGAACCTGTTTATGAATGAAAAGATCCTTTTTTCTATAAATTTCTGTTGCATAAGTTGACAGAAAATTTACCAGTAAAAAAGAATTCACTTATCACTATATTTGTATAAGAACGCACAATTGTAAAATTTAAATTCCAACTCAGCGTTGCGACTGCACGCTCCAAAAACAATAACTCATTTCTAATAGCATTTTTCGGATTACAACAATACATATATTTTCATTGTCCTCTTATTACTGAGAGTAAAAACAAGAACAAAATCTATTCCATACCTGAGGATGTCTGTAGGAACAGACAAAAGCTTGTAAAAATAATAACTTATGCAACAGAAATTTATAGAAACAAGGATCTTTTCATTCATAAACAGGTTCGGGGTTTTTGTATATTATAGAATTGTTATGACGATGGATTTCTCGCCAATTAAATCATTAACCTTTGTATTTGTTTTTGTATGAATAATTCATGAATTTGTAAATTAATTGCACCTTTATTGAAATATATATATATATATATATATATATATATATATATATCAAGTATGGATAGGAATCCCAGAAAATGATAGGAAAATGAACAAGTAGGAAACAGATCTTAATCTAATGTTTCATCTTATTAAAGTTTTGTCAGAGATCAAGATGGAAATGATAAAAAATGATTAAAAGCAGAGAGATGCAGATTAATTGCATATTGTGTTAGGCTATTTCTTTGCTTAGAAATGTGTCACATATATTGAAGTAACAGATAATATTTAAACATGTGTGACAAACATTCTCAATGTTGAAGTGTGTAAAAGTAAGATGCAGTAGGATGTTTTGATTGGATACATGCCATGTGTAAAGAATTAACAGATAATATTTAAATAAGTGTAAAAAACATTCTGGATGTTAAAGTATGTAAAGGTTAGTGAGATGCTGCTGGATATTTTGAATAGTTTTTCATCCAAATTTACAGTACATGGTATTCCCAAGTGATCACCCATCTAGGTACTGACCAGGCTCAACATTGCTTAACTTTGGTGATCATATGAGAACCAGTGTTTCAATGTGATATGGCTGTAAGAATATAAGCTGAAGTATATTAAATATTAATAATTACTATAATAATAACAATGATGATAAAAATGGGAACAAGCAAGCTAGGATAATAATTATCTATGACTGTAGAATGATAAGAATAATGATGATAACTAAAAATGACTATGAAAAAATAGTGATAGTACTAATAAAAAATTTCTAAATAAATATACAATAACTCTAAATAAATACACAATAATTTTGTAATGAAAAAGCATTGCTAATAATTTTACAATGAATGCACATTGCCAAAGATTCTTATAAAAATGAAGACCTAATAATTTTTCTATAAACATAGGTTGCCAGTGTTTTTATTATAGACATGCATTGGAAATGCTTTTTACTGTAAAAGTGCATTGGAAATGCTTTTTACTGTAAAAGTGCATTGGAAATGCTTTTTACTGTAAAAGTGCATTGGAAATGCTTTTTACTGTAAAAGTGCATTGGAAATGCTTTTTACTGTAAAAGTGCGTTGCAAATGCTTTTTACTATAAGAGTGCGTTGTAAATGATTCTTATTATAAAAAAGCATTTTTCCCAATGGTTTTTACTATGAAAATGCGTTGACAATAATTTGTTTATTTTCATTTTACAGACTATTAAAATAGTTGTGAAATGTGAATAATATTACATAAGTAATTATTTGGGAGAATTTCTTGTTGTAAACACGTCAGTCAAGTGAGGTTTCTCTGAGTCAATTTATAACTTTAACACCTCTCCTTTTTCATACCTGACTTTTAAGTTCACCTTTGATGTCGACATATATTATTAGCATTACATGCCATCTAAATTCTCTTCTATTCTGATCTGTGTGAAAATGTACAGTAGGATTTATAGGTTGACTGATACTTATTGGTATTTTATTTGAAATTGTGAGAATAAAACAAATTTATTATAACAATTTATAGGCCAAGAGAGTCTTTTGATAATGAAAATGATAAAAATATTGGTGTTTATTTCTATTACAGATACCTTTTTTTTTTCACATGCTTTAAATGACTTTTGTCATCAGGGTTTTAGGATATTTTAATACAGTTCTATAAGAACATGGTTTTTATTTGTTAGATGATTTGAATAACTTAAAAAACAATTGTACTTTTGTTATAGTGGAACACACCTATTCTATAGTTAATAGACTCTCCCACCTGTAATAAGTAGGAGTAGTAAGAGTAACGAGGAGTTGCTCAGTGGGTCGGTCAGTCAGTCGATGCCAGATGACCGTTAGTCGGATACTAAAGTATCAGCGACCACAACTAGATTTACTCTGCGTCATACCTATTATATGAAGTTCCTAACGTTTGGTATGTCGAACCTAATTTAGGACCGACTTAGTACAAATACAAGCCTCCATTGTGAAACCACTCCATAACAACTTTCTTCTATGGGAGAATATATTATTTGAGTTACTATTTCTGATTTTGATTTTCTTAAACAGTGAAATTAATAACAAGCAGTGTATATTGAGAACTTCTACTAAAAGACGATTGGGCCTCCAACAATCTCAAATGAAATCAGATACTGACTGGAAATGCTATCATTACACAAGAAAATGAATGAATTCCTTAGAAAGCAAAAATACTAAATTATAAACTGAAAAACTGAATCGAAAACCGCGGTATCAAGGGAAAAAAAAAATGGAAACTGATACTGAAACATAAATTACCAAACTGACCAACTGTCATAAATGTCTACTCGGGAACTGATGACATCAGAAAGATCATTGAGCGAAAATCAGAAACAGCAAAGGACCGAGGATAGAGCTTTGGGGGGTGGGGGCACCCATGTTCATGTGAAAAGGATCTGGAAGCAAGCCCATTCAGAACGACCTTCATTTCATGATTTGTTAGGAACAATTGGATTAAATCAGACAATCATCTAGTAATGCTGTAGCCCAGGAGCTTATGTAGAAGACCAGCATGCCAAACCTTGTCAAAATACCTTTGAGATATCTAGAGCCACAGCTCGAGCTTCGCTGTTATTATCAAGAGCTTGATATACATATTCAGTGATGGCTGTTAGCACATCAGTGGTAGACCTAGAAAAATGGAAGCCATTTTGTTTGTCAGAGATTAGGTTGTGAGAGGTAAGATGTTTAACCACTTAACATTGATTAAAGCCTCAAATACTTTGCTGGATGTAGTGAACAGCCCCATAGAAGCAAGCAAGCCAGTGTGGCTTGCATCTGGTGCATAGGAAAATAAGGGTCTTACCTTAACTTGCGGCATGTGACATTGGCAAGTTTGCTCCAAGAAAATGGCATTACTCTCCCGTCTAGTAATTGTAGCAGTATGTGTGGTAACGAGGGTTATTGTACAGTTTGGCATGCTTCCACCAATAGCAAGTCGTGTGCTGATTAGTCGAACTGGAGGAGACTATTTGCCTCGGTTACTGAGAATAAAAGCGAAGAAGGCTGATTGTTTGGCCTGATAAAAGAGGGCTAAAGCAGTGAAAACGGGAGAAGAAAAAGATGGATTTACATTGTGAAGTGTTTAGAGAGCAAGAATGGTGAATTGAACCAGCGGTATCTTGATTTGTACAAGTGACATCGTAGTAATAGAGGCTCATTTAAATTACACTGGAATGTGGTAAGAGACTAATAAGGTGATAGTGAGAGGAGTCAGAAGGTTCTCCAGAGTTCTTAAAAACCAGAACTACAGAGGACTTCCAACAAGTAGGAAGGAGCAAGGCAATAGTAGTAGAGTTTGGAGAGAACTGGAGCCATTCTTGGAGCACATTTCTTTAGGATGACTGATGGAATCCCGTCACCTCCGCTTGCTTTATGAGAGTCTAATTTAGAAATGATGTCTGAGACCAGTGATGGGGTTATGCACATATCACTCAGTAGATCCTCTGCTCTAGGAGGGAAATTGAGTGTGTGTACTCCAAATGAGTCGAGTGTTAAAGTGAAAAAGAATTTCCAAGCAAAGCATTTAACCTGATCTGCTGTAGATGTCAAGACTTCAAATTGATTAAAAAGAAGAGGGATTTAGGATTTGCTGTTGTTCAGCACACTCTTGCAGAACTGCCAGTAATCTCTAGAACCAAACTTGTGAGATACTATACACTATTTACATTGTTCGGACTATCATCCTCATAATTTGTTGCCATATTTATTACATTTCAGCCGTTGTATGCTCTGGCCTTCTTCAGGTGGTTGGAATGTTGAACTGAACCCTTTATTTCACTCACTGGGGTAGACTGTTCTAGTTCCACGTGCCATGTCTAAAGGATGTCAGTTATCAATTATCTCCTGTTAATTCCCCTCTCCATATTCACCACCACCTTAACTAATAACTGGTTCAGTTCAACATTCCAACCACCTGAAGAAGGCCAGATCATACAATGGCCGAAACGTTGTGATAAATATAGCAACAAAGATGAGGATGATAGTCTAAATAATGTAAATAGTGTACATAATACCTCATCTCAGAAATATAGAGAGATACTATATATTGTTTCATTTTATCAGCAAACAGTAACTTTGCTTCTTTGAGGACATGTTTGTACTCATTATGAGCAGAGACAGGATGTCTGTTACAATCAGACATGTTGCTCTGGTAAAGTTGGACAAAGTGATTCCTGTGTGCTGTAGCAGCCAGGCATGCAGGTGAGAACCAAGGAGGTGAATATGATTTAACTTGGTATTTCCTTGCTGGAATGAAAGCATCAATGCCAGCTTTCACCCAGGAGGAGACCTCAGATATGTATTTATGAACAGGCAGATTAAAAACTGCATTCCAAGGGATGTCTTTAAGGAAGACACAGAACAAGTCACAATCTGCTCACTGATAACAGAAAGATATTTTGTTGGTAGGTTCTTGGCCGGTAGGGGAGTGAAAAGAGATATTTACAGACACTACTACATGATCAGAGTTGCTAAGAACAAGAAGGCAGAGCTGCGTAGTAGGACATGAGTCTGGGATAGAGGTAAAAAAACAGATCTTGAAGAGAAACGTCTGTCAAGTTTACTGGGGAAATGTGGGGGGTGGGAAGTTCACTTGTGTAAGAGATTGAGTGACTGTGAGAAGGGCAACTGGCATCATAGTGGGCATTAAAGTCACCAAACAAATATATTTGGAAATTGGTGCAGGGAGATGGCCTTGTCTATATTACCAGAACTACTATCCAGCATGCAACAGTCATGAGAAGAAGGGGAATAGTAGAGAAAGAAAAGATAGCTGACTGAATTATGGAGACACATGTAAGAGTTGTGTGGAGATTCAAGAGAGAATTACTTAGCTAGCAGGAGATGTTTCCAGACATAAACACCCAGGCCATGCATGTGGACATTAAAGTCTTTTCTAAAAAGAGGAAGATAACCAGGAATCTAGAAATTGGAGGAGAGGATTGAAGAGTTAAGATTAGTTTCACAGATAGCTAGGATGTCCAGAGACTTTTTGAAGAGGAATGATTCCACACTGCAGAAGTTAGTATGAGTACCACGAATGTTGGAGAAAAAAATAGGTTGAGGGGTTTAGGTTTATATCTTTGGTAGCTTATAGTCATGGTTTGTTGTTTTGGTAAGGAAAGACCTAGTAGTAGCAGTTGGTTGTCTAATGCAATGTTTCTCAACCTTATTCTAGTTTTTGCCCCCTTCAATCTAATGTGAGTTCTTTATGGCCCCCTCATGCCAACTTGAGTTTTTATCCCTCTTCTTCCCACCCCATTCCTCAACATAATACATCTAAGGAAGTAGGAATATTAAAGCTTGTAGTTTGGAAAGTTCTATGGCATCAAAACACTAACTCCAGTTGTAAAGCAAAGAATAATATAATTTAGATAAATATCTTATTTGAATACTCATATATTTACAAAACCAAAAATACATGTACCATCAGCTCTATCTTGTATGGTTTCAATGGGATACCTTTGACAGGTGCAGGGCTGACAAATTGTTGATGTTTGGCTTGAAAGCCATCAGATAGATGTAAATTACCTCTTTTTATTCCATGTCAAGGTGATTTCAAGTCTTTGACAGCAGATGC